AGACTTTTATATTATGACTCATTGTCTTATACTTGCACTGAATATATATATGTAAGCATCTATACAAAAGAAACTATAAAGTCTAGTCAAATTAGGGATTTGTAACTTGAGGAAATAATATCAACACTATGTCTCAAAACTTAAGCTTGTTTGTTTGCTTTTTTTTGGCGTTTAATTTTCACTTTTAGCTACCTATCTTGTTTCTGTATTGGTTTAAAGACCCATATCACCTCGTTTTTGAATTAAGAATTTTTAATAATCTTGCGTATACTAAACTTTCAATTCTGGAAATGTTTAATACAAATAATTTTATTTTTACAATGTCTATATTAAGAAATTTTCCAATCTATTATCTACTACAGCCATCCGCTATTACACCAGTATCAGTTTAAACGTACACAGTATACATAGTTTACATGGTAGAGATAATGTAATTATTTAGAAATTTAATTTAAACGGTTGTCATGGATATTTGGTGGCACACGAGTCTATCTGTAATCATCGAATTCCAGCCATTACCATGACCATACAGATAGCAGCGGATTATCAGAAGAATTTGTTGTCTTAGTGAAAAGCTTTGCATAAAAGGGCTATCTACACTCTGTCCACCGAGTGTATCTTCAGTGTATCAATTTAAATATGCATAAAATGATACAATTAAAACATACTGTGTTACAGTCATAAGCCACTAACAAAAAAGATAAATTTGCAGAGTTTACCATAATTTGCAACACTTACTAAATTCTTCCAAGTCTTTAGCCGATTAATATATGGGTTATGAAAAATATATTTATTTTCTAATTAAACTTTGTAAACTAAAATAAATATTTGTCATAAACATAATTTCTTATGATATAGTGGTCTGAATTTCGCGCAGTTACACGAGGGCTATCTACGCTAGGGGTCCCTAATTTAGCAGTGAAAGACTAGAAGGAAGGCAGCTAATCATCACCACCCACCGCCAACTCCTGTGCTTCTCTTTTACCAGCGAATAGTAGGATTGACCGTCACATTATAACGCCCCCACGGCCCCACGTTGTATACAGTAACATAAATTTTATTCACCAACAACCCTTGTAGTATTTGTTTATTTTTAAGTACAAAGTTACTTAATGTGTTGTTTATCTTTGCTATGTTCATTGCACCTATAAAAACCCTAGCCTGGTAGTTAGGGCGCAATCTGAGGGTCGCGAGTTCGAATCCTCGTCGCCGAATATGCTCGCCCTTTCAGGAATGGGGGCATTATAAAGTGACGGTCAATCCCACTCTTCGTTGGTAAAAGAGTAGCGCAAGAGTGGGCGGTGATGCTGACTGGCTGCCAAATTAGAGACGGCTAGCGCAGTTAACCCTCGTGTAGCTTTTGGAGAAACTGAAACCAAACCAAACTTAACTCTGAGCTACCGGAAAGTCACTCGGAGTGTTTACTTAGTGCAAGTACTTAACAAAATGTTCATATTCAGTGCTCGTTTTCTCTAATTGAAACATTTTTTTTCTTAAAAAGACAACATGGATACTTGTAATAATAATCAAAACTACTTATTCTTAAGCCTTTATTTTTCACGTCTTTGCAAAACAACATGGTTAGCTGATGCTTTGGTAGATTGTAAACATTGTTACAGTTGGGAAAAACACAAGAAGAGGACCACGTTGAGAAAAAAATCGACGCATCAATAAAAGTTCGTATTTAGAATAAAAAATTATTACTGTGTTAGTCTTTTAATCTTTTGTTTCCAAGTAACTGTGGAAAATAGGTGTTAATGTAATAAGATCCGAAATTTAAAATTCACACAATATATTAAATACTGTGTCGTACAGAAAACAACTTTCATATTTAATATAAGTTTTCTAATACAATTATTTTGTTGGAGCTCATAAACAAACGTGGGATGGCGCTGTGGTAGAACTACAGATTTCGGAGCTAACGAACCACGTTCGAATCCGTGTGTTTCCACAAAATGTTCTCAGAATTTTAAGAGTTATAAATGTGACAGTATGGATAGCGGATAGTAGAATGCTGCTGGCGTTCACCCCCTGGTCAGTAGTTCAAAATTAGGGATGGCGGCAGATAGCCTTAATAGCTTTACCATAAATACAAAATAAAATACAAATACACTACTTAAATACAACTTAGTGCTACGAATACATTTATTAGCTGAAAACTAACCTCGTAGTTTATTAAATTATTACATTTAGTCACTTTATTTACGTATACAACCTTTTAAATATGATAGACGATATTGACAATACTATTTTAACAATAAATGCAGTTTTAACAAAAATATTATATGAGTATTTTATATTTACCCGTGAAATTTCATCAACAAAATGCAATTATTTCTTAGATAAATATTTTTTTAGATCTTGAAACATAGATTTGAAAAATCAAGTTACTAATTCAACTGTTCTTATCAATAAAATAAATATGGTGATCAGTTTACAGTTTAAACCATTATATAAACTGAGTATAATCTCAAACAGAAACTTAAGCAATAGCTACTTAGCATGGTAACTATTCAGCAAAGTTGCCGATACAGTTTTCATTCGATGGCTGTGTGAAAGATTATTGTAACGAGTGTACATATGTGTATCTATTATTTATAAGTTTACATCGTGTATTATTTACTCCAACCAGGTAGCACACTGATTAGGTGTAATAAGGTTTCTGTGTTACTCGAAACGAAAGCCAATAAAAGCCAGTTTGGGAATTATAGTTGGTAATGCATGGCCTATATTACAAAATATTTTGTAAAAAAAAATAAAAAAATAAGCGTTCGACAAAATCTTAATATTATAAATATTTCTTTCTTACACTATTTTTCGGTGTATAAAACGCACTTTTTTTACCCCAAAATTTGATGTCCAAATCTGCTTGCGTCCTATACACCGAAGGTATGAATAATATATATGTATTTATATATGATATACACAAGCCATGTGTAAATATATTTAAATAGGCATGCATAGTTTAGTTCAATTGAATGTGTTATTTATAACAATAGTAGTTTGTTTTTTCTTTTAAAAACATAACTATTTATAATGCTCTACTTTTGAACCAAACTAAATAACAGTAATTTTTTTTTTTTGATTTACGGTATTTTCTTATTTTGATGTTTTGAG